CTACTACTTCTACTTCCTGTTATCTTCTTCATCATCGTCTTTTTCACCAGTAGAAACAGCTGGTTGTTGATCACGTGACTCCCGTGATGCGAAAAAAAGTGTTTCCATTGCAGTTTTGCGAAAGAAAAAAAAAAACAACTATTTTGATACGGCCGAAATACCACCTCACCCTAGCGCAAAAACATTTTGTTGAAAAACTAAATTTTTTTCGAAATTGACATGTTTACATTGAGCAGATTTATTTTCGAAATTCTAATTGGCGCATTTTCATGGTCAATGGAAACACACCCATTGATCTCTGAAAAATAATAAAATAAATAAATTACTATAAGTAAAGAATAATTGGATAATTGGAATAAACAGAAATGTGCACAGCACATCAATTTAAGAACATTCAGGAGACAAAGTTTTATTTCTGTTTTGCTAACAATACTTTCTTTTAAAGCTTCTTGTTGCTTTTAGGACCTCTTACTATTTGGTTGCTTTACTTTAGTTTATTATTGATTTTGAATGTCTAGAACATTCTTATTACTTATGAATCTTTTTTTTACCTTTGGCTCTGACCACTTGTTTCACACATTTAAACTAGAACTAGAGCTATCCAGAATTTTTTTGTGGCGTAAGAGAAGGGGGAATAGTTAAGGTTATCTGGTTTCCTAGAAATCATTTCTTAAAAGGATTGTTACAATGACTTTCCCAGAATGCATTGTAAATCACTGAGGAGGCAACTGTGCATCAACAAACAGGGAAAAATGACCTTATTCCACCCTAAAAATCCTCTCMGTTTACCTCCTGGTGTGAGATTATACAAGCCCTCCTGATCCAGCTCCTCTTGCTGTATATCTGTGAGACAAACACCTCTGTCCAGTATAAACACAGCCATCTCTGCCACCACTGCTAAATCAACCAAGCACTTGGAAGGCAAAGCCTGGTTGGCTAAAATACCGGGTTAGAGCATCCATATGGTCGTGATGAATGATCCCAAGTGCTCTCAAATGACCACCCTGAGGAAGAAACTGGCATAATCCAGTTGGAAAATGGTGCATTCTACCAGTTGTGGCAAGGCACTGCTGCCACAATCACACATTCCTCCCACACAGTCAGAGAAGTATTTAAAGAGAAATCCACTCCTGCTGTTTGCTGTGCAGGTTTCACCCCAGAAATAGCTTTCTCCTGTTTGGAACAAAAATATCTACTTTTAAGATAGTTTTTTAAATAAAAGACACAAGKCTGAAACCAGTGATGACATCTTTTCACAAATATCTTTACGAATGGAATGAAAAATGTTTTCGATGGTCTCAAGAGTTCTCTCTGATCTGCCTCCGGAAGATGTCACGGACTAGTTGAAGTGAAGTTAAAAACAACAAAAAAGCACAAATGGTTTGCTTGTTTTTACAGTTTTTGAAAGCAGAAACCAACATCTGTGCCCTCAAAGTACAAGTCGTCATCATAGCATGTGTCAGGGTCGAGCATTTGAAGCTTCCTCCCCCTTCTGCTCCGAGCAGTTAACCACAGGCTGCTGGAAGGTCCTGTCAGCAATCAGTCCCTGGGTAATTACCACTGTAGCTCTCTGCTCTGACCTGGGCCTCTGCTGAGGAGCCAGGGGCCACATTCCCTTTCATAATAATGCTGCTTCTTCTCTCCTGGGCACGCTGCTCTGTCATAAAGGATGGTGTTCGGCTGTGATTTATTTATTTTTTATTTTTTTGGGTTTCTTTTTCCTGAAGCAGAGTGCGATGGGAAAGGTCAAGCAAACAAAAATAAGTTTTTTGACAAAGATTCACCGCAGAGGTTTTCAAATCGAGAGTAGTGAGAGCTTCAAAGCTGATCTAAGAAAAGCTTGAGTCATTGGATAATAAAGGTGTGTTAACCAGGTATTTACTGTTTATGATGGTCACTACTGTAGCTTTCAATTTCCTGTGCATTTGAAGGCATCTTTAATTTTTCAGTTTGCATATGTAGACCATAAGGGTGCAAAGAGACAGAAAATTTATGATTCGGTTCGGTTCAATAATTTAGTCTCACGGTTCGATATTTTTTCAATACAAAAAAGAGAAATGTCCATGCCCATTTTAACTTGTAATTTATTTATATTAATTATGAACATTTGTTTAACCTCAAAAGTACAGTTTTTAAATTAMATGTTGCTGAAACAGCAAGTTTCTCAGTGGAYCTGCRCTCAAAAATGCAGCCTAGGTGGAGTAGTCGAACACAGATCCACTGATCCTTCAACACAGAGCATCTTCAGAAGACAAGTTGATAAAGTAAATTTTAAAAATCTGTATTGTTCGATACGAGTGTGTATTGAACCTAAAGCACTGTTCGATATGGGTACATGTATGCACCCCTAGTAGACCATATTATGTGAATTGTGAATCTAGAACTTAGAGCCAGTTTACTTTAAAAAGGCTCTCGTTGTTTTTAATGTTCTTCACAACAAATTTAGGACAGGCTGCCTGAACCTATTCACTGACTGTGTWWCCATTGACCATGAAAATGCGCAAATTAGAATTTCGAAAATAAAATTTGCTCAATGGAAACATCAATTTCGAAAAAATAATCAGTTTTTCGACAAAKKTTTTTGCGCTAGTATGAGGTGGTACTTTGGCCGTRTMGAAATTGGTGTTTTTCGCAAAAGTGCAATGTAAATCCTTTTTTCGCTTCACRGGAGTCACGTGATCAACAACCGGCTGTTTCTACTGGTGAAAAAGATGACAGAAGTAGTAAAATAAAGTAGTAAACTCACCGACTACGATTTCCCAGAAACACAGCATACGTAGCCGCTCCCAAGTAGGGACTTGTCTCTGGAAAGCCTCGATAAAAGACGCCGACGTCTCCTCTGATGATGAGCGCTAGTGTCGCGGTAGCAACATGCTATGTGTTTACATCCATCGCTGCCATGTTTGTAATGACATCGCGAGAACAAACGTATTCACGTGACTTTAATAACATCTATTACTTAATGGAAACACTGCGGTTGTGAAACTGTGTTTTTCGACATTAACAGAATATCGACAAAGTTTTGCGCACATTTGCAATAGAAACGCAGCTAGTGTTACTTTTAGTTGGTTGTTTTTTTGTTTTGTTTTGTTTTTTGGGTTGGGTTTGGTTTTTGTTTGACTTTGTGCAGTCTGAATAGACATTAGATGAAGAGTTCTCTAACAGATTCCTGGAACAACCTGATATCTCTCTCCAGAAGGGAGCTTCACCAAGAAGACAAGAATTTTTGGTGGTGCAACATCATCTCTGCATCCCTGCTGGCTCTGGGTGTGTTAAAGTTTACATGTTGATGCTCAACCACACCTTCTTTAACCAAAGTTACCAGTAAACAAGACTGTCATTTAATGACAGTGTTGGTCTTTTTTTTAATTAAGCCATGTAGCTGCGCAAGTGGTTTAGATGGTTCTTCTTAGCGGAAGGGAAACATCGTTTCTGCAGCTGTTTTTATCTTATTTTAGTTGAGGTTAGAGATGAAAGATGTGGAGATATTTGTGGACAAACAGGAAGTAATTATGATTATACTTGAACACATAAAGCACACATTTGGCCTTCCGATTCATGGTTTTAAGCTACAGTTGAGAGAATCCTTCCTCGTGCTTACATGCTTTCTGCATAGTGAAAAAAGATTTAAAAAATGCTCTGCAGTGTCGTGTTGCTGCCGTGAGACATGGAGGGAGGACTCTTTCTTTTTTGTAGCTCTGGGCTTTATCTCCTGGGACAAAAGCAAAGCTCRACTTGTTCAGAGAAATTTCCCTGCCATTCTCCTGGGGATTGTGTGACACTTGTCAAAATACTGTATCATGGGCTGAGGACACACACATTTGTTGGTGCTTGTCACAATATAATGAGACAGCAAGATGAATATCCACACTTAGCACTCAGGGGATTTCCTCAAAGCTTGTGATATTGAAATTTTTGTGCTGCATGCTCAGATGGGAGCGTCTCTCCTCAAAGTTCTTCTTTCATGTGTGTCGTTGTTTCTGTAGGAAGATAAGTTGTTTTTGTTTGAACGTTTATCCCGACACAAGACAGAGTATTTATCAGTAGCTATAGCAGCTGTTATTGTTTAGGATATTGTTTCATTTTTTCTTAGTAAAGTATGCTTACATGTGATATGTTTAAAAAAAATCAGAAATAGGCTTCAYATTGTTCATTTTGTGTATTTTATTTCTTTGTTTGTTTAGGCACTACTGCTTTGTTTTACATAATACAATTCATCATATCGTGTAGAGTTTATACCCCGCTGTCAAAAGCAGAGCAATAATGTTTTTGCGTGTCTTTGTGTTTGTGTWTTTCTGTCCGTTCTGTTGGCAAAATAGCTCATGATTCACTAACGAATCTTCATGAAACTTTCAAAACATTTGACATCTAAAACTGAACAACTTTTGAAGTCAGCCTAATTCAAGATGGCAGCCTCAGCTAAGAAACTTAGAAAACAAAA